ACTGACTCTCTAGAAGAGGTCAGAATTCCTAACATCTATCCCCATGATAGATATCAAATTCATATCGAACATACAATATTTCAAAAGATTTCTGGTGACTTCACTTGGCTCGTAAGTAAAGAGCTTGTGTGTGTTTTTCTTTTTTAATACGAAACGACACAAAATGTTTGATGATCAAATTTTGTACTGATTATGCCCAAAAAGCCATTCATTTGATATCCCTTAAATACCATAGCACAAGTCAACTAAAGCACAGATTATAAACCATTTTAAATAACACAAATGCAATGTGCACATAATGAACAATATAACCAACTTAAGGTAATTTTCATGTAACAGATAACATCTGGAGGAAATGCAGATCGGTAAGTTATGCAAAACTAATTTTCAAGTGACCACATCTGTGGACGTTATTTATCGAATGTTCACTTAACTGTCCATTATTCTGCTTAGAAATCTATCCTCTTCTTTATTAGAGCTTTTAATGTACTCACCTTGGTCCAAATGGTCTGCTCATTATCAGAAAAAAAATATAAATGGCATTCACATGGAACAGCCCCATTGTGTTTATTATATCCATTTGTGTGCAAGCATTCAAAAAAAATGGCAAGTGAAACACATTTATTGCTTTGCATTCAAAGTAATATTTAGGGGGTATTTGAAAGTCGAGCAAAACCAATCATTTGGCCAAATGGATGTATGTATATAATCAGAAACTCCTGATTTTTAATCTCAGCATTAGGCCGCGGGCAAGCCACTGAAAGTCCTCCCTTTGTTTCTTGATCTGACTATTACGGGTGCTATTCTCCTGTGGAAAAGGGGGGTGTGGCTAAATCCAGACCCAATAGAGGGGTTTTTTACAGTAAACTTTATCCTTTTTCTGTTTTTATTTTCCTAGATTTAAGAGGTAACATATTAGACTTTTGAGGAAAAAAAATGAGACAATTACCATCCTACAGGAATGTATAAAAATAGTTATAAAACTGGCTTTATTTAATTTGCTTCAACTATTCATAGACTTGAGGAAATTATAACGTTCTTTCAGAAAATCTAACTTAATAAAGCTGACCATGTCTCTCTGTTTTAAATAGATTTTATTACAGAGCCAGTGATGTTGTAAAGCATGAAGTTTTGTTAAAAAAAAATACAAAGGCCTAATTGTATTTTTTAAACTATTGCATCAGACGGTTCCATTTAAATGTGTTTGCCGGCTCTGTGTCTCCCCACAATTATTGATTCTAATTTTCCTTGAACTTGTTTTTAAAGAAGGCTACCATTTTTAATAGGGAAAACTTCACTGTGATACTTTGGAGCATTTTGTTTGTTTTTCAAGCTGTGCCTTTAAAACTGCTCTTCCTTCTTATCGATAAAGACTTCACCTGTCCAGGTCAGGGCGCTGCCTCCTCACAGCAGCCCTCTTACATAGCTAAATTTAATTCTTCATGAAAGAGGGAAACATAGCTGTGGTCTGGTTTGCTAACAGTATGCAAAGCATACAAAGAAAAGAAATTATTGCCACCAGTTCTGTACACAAATTAAATCAATAGTTATACAAACTATACACATTAAAAAATCAAGAAAAATAAAAGCTCTGGGAATAAATGAAAGCTTCCGTCTACTGAAGGAAGAGGAACGTGGAGCCAGGGAGATCTGAGTTTCCAGGTGTGTACCCCAGTGTGTGCCTGGGGAACACATACACATACATGCACACATATATGAATGAAAGCTTCAGTCTGCTGAAGGAAGAGGAATGTGGAATCAGGGAGATCTGAGTTTCCAAATGCGTGCCCAGGGGACACAGATGGACACACATACACACACACACACACACACACACACACAAAAGCACAGAGATATACATGTGCACATACACACATGCTCACAAATACATATACATACACATTCCCACAGGTGCACACACACACACATATGTACACAAATACATGCACACATAAATTTATATATACATACATATGTAAACATACATTCGCACATATATACATATACCTGCATATATACACATGCACACACATGCAGACTCACATATACAGAGACAGATACACATATGTACATACACACAAATATACATTCATATATACACACAAATATATGTACACAGATGTACATACATGCACACATACACACATATACATACACACAAATTTGTAAATATACCCATAAACACAAACCACACATTTTACATATACACATACATGCATGTATATACACCCACACATATATGCACAGTGCTGAAGATCAACAAACTGAGTGCGAAAGTTATCAGATGACTTGTAAAGATGTGGAGGGGCAGGGGAGATGCTCATTGGATAAGAGCACTTGCTGTGCAGGAATAAGGACCTGAGTTCAGATCTCAATCACAGAAACACAGACACACATGTATACCAAAAAAAAAGAAAGAGAGA